TTTAACTATCCTTTTCGTGACCAGCATGTCGAATAACACGCCTATGCCAAGTTTTAGTCAAATCCGTCAAACTTTGAATTTTTCCTTTTCATACCATGCACCTACCGTAACCCTCACTGCGACGTCAGAATTTGGTAGGACAGCAGCTGCACTTGCAGCTTACATAATAACCAACGCAGTGGCAAAATTTGAGTGCGCCATGTTGAGTGAGAGGGAAGTTATGAGACCAGTTGCAAAACTTAGTTTCCAACCTAATACTAGAAGGAGCACTTATAGGAGGAGGCATATGATGAATATCAGGTGAATCAATACAGTTGGCATGATCCATAACTAAAGCAGGCGTCTGGTTAGGATTTATCGATTGATCCATATGGGTAGGGCTTATCGATTGATCAATATGGGCATTGGCACAGTTATCAACATCGACACGATTATCAACAAGGTCAACGGTTATGATCATGATCATTACGACGACGATCATTACGCCGAGCCTCTCTGGCTTTCCTGGCATTACCCCTCTCTTCTTTAGTAAGAGAGGGCCTGATAAATATGCCTTTCTTATGAGGAAATCGTTTCATTTGATGGGCTCGGCGCAACACAGCCCCCTGAAAATACGAAGAAGGCAAAACTACTTTCAGGAGTCGGTCATGGGAGGGGTGCGATCTCCCCATACGATACACGCATAATGGGCGACATTCAATACCAAGGAAATCTAGAATTTGTTGCACACAATTATAAACATGATTCACTTTAAGACTAGAGTAACCGCTCCTGTTTTCGGGCACGCCAATTATGACAATAGAGCGCTTCCTTTCAAAATCTTCACTAGAGAAGTTGGTATGAGAGGTAGCTTCGTTGTTGACCGAGACGCGTGCATTAGGAGATCCCACAAAAGAACGCAATTTTTCGTTTTGTTTTTTCAGAGAATCCATTTGCTCCGACATTGAAGAATTCTTGATGTTCAACTCACGATTGTTCTGCAGAATAGCATCGTAGTATTTCGCGAATCCATGAGGAAGACAACTATGGTACGGGCAGAGGGCGGCAGGGATCCATCCTTGACTAGGTCCGGTGCGGCTTGGTCGTGCAAGTCTGGCGATGGGGACTCGTCGAAGGAGATTCTCCTTTTCTTTAGACAATCTGTCGGGTTTAACGGATAGATAGGCGTCTCATTCATCGATATAATAGCAGTAAAATAGACAGGAAAGACGATAACTTAGTAACCGCAAGGCAGAGAGATCAGTGACTCACAGGCCAGCTCAAAAGATCCGGACCGGGACAGGTGGAATGAAGGCAGGTACTCCGTCGTGGACAGAATATGAAGAGCAGGAATAAGGGTAATGGGAATGGTGTAAATCACACCTATAACCACAGCTGGATGTTGCAATCCGCTTGAAACCAGGATATCCGTTGTCCGATATCGACATGGGATAGGGTACAGCGGAGCACAGGGGATACCGATCGCTCACTGGCGGGACAGATTTCGAATGACATGGTTTTAGCTAAATTTTCTACTCGAGCACAGCTAATAAAGCGAATAACATGTGAAAGTATCTTTCAACCAAAGAAAGCAGATAAGATAAGCGATCAGGGCCCGGCACGAGGTGGGCAGACGGGGTTTTCCAAAACGAATTCCCCTTTGACCCCAATAGTTTTTACGAATACCCCCTTGAGGCCAAAAATGACGCTTTGTGCTTGCGGAACGAGAGCACCGGCCACACTTCGCCTAATATCGCTCAAAAGCGCCTAAAATGCTCAAATTCCTCTAATTACTCCTCACCTGTATCAAGATAGAAAACAGGAAGAAGAATAAGCAAGGGAAATGATGAAGGAATGGAAAAATATCAAAGGAACGCAGACATAGGACTGAGAGACGCCGTTCCTGCGCGTATCGATTGACTGGGGATTAGGTGGGCAATTGCCCACCTAATTTGGAAAAAAGTTAAAGGCAGCGTCCAGGCAGATCTGGACCTATGGGGCTTTTACGTGGAAAGTATTAGGGTGAACGGTAAAAAATGGGACACCTTGAGAATAATTGCAGATTTCTCAAGGAAGAAAAGTGACTGAACTTTCCAATTTTGATGGATATTAGAATAAATTATTCTCTTTCAGATAGCACCTATATAAGGTCATTTATATAATTGATAATTTTTATACTTGCTAAAATGCAAAGTTAGTTACTTCGAGAAATTATGAAGTTTGAGCAGTATCGGCGCAGTAAAACATGTGAGACCACCCAAAGTACCACTGCTGGAGTGGGTGGTGGGACAGTCACCAAACCCATGACGGCTTGGTGGCTTTAACTCTTCATGTCAGGAGATATGCCCATTAACAGCTTCGAGAACAAAGATACGCGTTATTCAATTCTTTGCAGGTAAACGCATGATTTCTAGGTATCATCTGATAGAGCTTTTTACGCTCTATCCACCCATATGCAGCTTACCTCAGATTTCATCTATCTTCGGAAAATATAGGGCAAAACATGATTTTTTGGTTTTTTGTTGCGCCAAAAATAGCTATTTTTCAGGTTTGTTCGATTTTTTCTCCTGAAATTGAAAAGAAATCTCACGCATTTAACATATCGTTCGAAAGAGCATGAAGAGCTCTTTCGAATGGTATGTCATTTGCTTTACGACTTTACGGTATAACAGCGCAAGATTGAGGATTGCTCGAAAAACCCTGTTCGAGTTCTTCACGGCGCCACGTGTAGGGTAGTGGAAGAGGAGCGTTAACGCGTTGTCAGAATAATAAGCGAAGGTCGCCCATGTAAGCGACGTTTAAGTTGCCGCTTACTTGCTGTTGCCCGAAACAAAAAAATTCCAAAATGTAATGAAAATCAAGCTGTCCCATTTTTTACCTAATACTTTTGGGGCCCTAACTAAGGCACTGCTCAAGCGGCAGCTCAGGTAGTGCTGTAGTGGCTGAGATAATCCTTTCGAAACTGGACCCCGCGACCGTGTTTCGCATGGATTCATGGCGCAAAGCGTGGATCCTGGCGCGAAACTGCCATGAATCCATGCGAATACGTTCGCGGGGGCCAGTTTCGAGGGGAATATCTCAGCCATTAGAGCACTACCTGAGCTGCCGCTTGGGCAGTGCCTTAGTTAGGGCCCCAAAAGTACTTTCCACGTAAAAGCCCCACAGGTCCAGATCTGCCTGGACGCTGCCTTTAAGCACGCTCTTCATTCACATAAGCTTTTCATAATTTTTCATACATTGTTCCTTAGTCCTACTGCGCGTGTACACACCAAGTCTCGCGCGATTTCGTTTTCTCTGCGCTGCAAACAAGCCATTTTTCCATTTTCTTGATAGTGGGAAATTTTCAGAAAAAAGCTTCCCACAACCTTCATTCACATAATTTTTTAATGAAACTTCTAAGATAAGCCCTACAGGCCCGTGTTCATCTACCTACCTAGTTTCATACCGTATGGTCATCTGTGCGCTGCAAACGAGCCATTTGAATTCACATCTTCATTTACCAATTTTGCGAATTTTGTTGGAAAAAATGCTTATTACACCTCCCATTCACATAAGTTTTCCATAACATTTCATGCTTTGTTTCTACTAGCCTCTTTTTGTTCGCCTACGTAATTTGGTGCTATAACATTACGCCTGCATTGACTGATCATGTAATCATGCTGTTCGTGGCATCGCTCATGCGACGTCGCGCACGCGGCAATTAGCGGCAACGCGGCGTAGTGCGCGCGAAGTCTGCTGTGCGTTGAGGTTTATGAAAACTATTTTCCGATGAATCAGATGTATAAGGTAAGCATGATTGACCTTCTTTTGCTTGCACTTGGAATCTTCTTCCGGGGTTCCGCCCCGGATCCCGCAAAAACGATATCCACTTTGCTTTTTGGTCCCAAAACGATTTCCAGCTTGTCATTTGCCCACCTCGTGCCGGGCTCTGTAAGCGATCCTTTTGATGAGACACAGCTCAACTAGAGCATTTGCTAGACACTTTGGCTATGTAGTGAATAAAAGGATTTGGAAGTCAAAAAATATTCTGATAGATAAAAATCTTAGGTGGACCTATAATTTTGGCCAATCTGCTTTTTTCGCAAATTTTGTTTTTTTCTCGGATAATCTAACAAAAGCGAAACCTGTTCTGGGTAAGCGATAGGCTGGCACACACGCCGTTGTACTGAATTCTAGATCTAAATAGACAGCCGAGGGAGTTACGGCATTTTTTTAGTTGGGCCTATGATTCTGGGAAGCACGGCTCAGACAATTGACCGGAACTTCCGCAGAACGTTTGGTAAATTCCCGCCGGGTACCTGTGGAAGTTCCGTAAAAGTGCTGGGAAAGTTCCGAATAATGCGAACGACAACAGCAAGAGGACTACCCATGCGAGATTCGGACCTTGCGAATCAATGTGAGACTCACTTATTATCCTCTGCACAACCTATGACATATTCCACAATACATCTAGTTGTCGGCTAGGGAACTTTGTAAGAGACAACACACCCAACACACTTAAAGAGTTGCGGAAGTACTGACAGGTAAAGTGCTGCGAAACCGCTGGCATTTCGCGGAATTACAACGTTCTGTGACAAGTCCTGCGGAAGTTCTCGTTTTAAACCCGTCTCACCTGAATTCCTGCGAAGTTCCCATTTTGAACGTTTTCACTTCTGTAATAATAAACGAAATCCCGACGGAACCGCTGCAAGTATTGCTTGTCCTGTGGAAGTTCCGGTGGATTGCTTGATTGTAGTATGGTGGAGAATTCAAACAAATGAAGCAAGATATGTTTTGAGGAATGCATCCCCGCCACTCACCACTTTGCCTCCATTTTACGAACAAAGTAATATTTGTGATAATCTACACTTTTCCATAATGCTGGAGCTTTTTGTTAGAGAGCATGTTGCCTTCATGCTACACTTTTATACAAACTTAGTTTTGTGACACATTCCGAGTTTTACCGATTGAAAACATGGTGCCACCAATGAAACGTTTTTGTTTGCATCCATTACTCACTGCGCCTACATAGAATTGTCAAGAGGTAAAAGGTTTCCAGTTTGACGCCAACAACAAGACTGGCCCCAATCCGTTCTCTTTCGATTTGCATCTACTATTAGTAGGGTAATCCTGTAATATCGCCTTTGTTCCTGGCTTGTTTGCCAATCAGAAGCTCAACACTTTGAAGGCACATATTTCTACATGTTTTGTTCACTGCATGTTTGGCAATTAAAGCTCCACACTGCGAAGGCAGTGTGGAGCTTTAATTGCCAAACAAGCAGTGAACAAAACACATATTTCTACATATTGTGGCACATATTTCTACATATTTAGCAGATGCGTTTCTCCTTTCAGAAAGAGATGCAAACTTGCGCTGTTTCCAAAGAGATGGAAGAAATGTATGTGTACAAAAAAGGTATGTCATTTTAAAAGGAGATTCTGTCTTCTAAATAGTTTCTCAAATGTCTGTAATGTTTATTTCATCACGTGTAATGTCAAAAAAGCGCAGGCAATTTTGTTGTGGGCCAAATAAAACAACGTTTTTTCATTAATTTTGGGAAATTCCCGATTAAGAACATCGAGCAGCCGACATGAATCTAAACGAATCTGAAGAGTTGGGTAACTCACGCTTTCAATTGATTTGCTTTTCCAGCATAGTGTAGGTAAAAGCTTTTCAAGCATAGTGTAGGTAAAACCTCTAATTCCTCGTATACACTTCAAATACGTCATCTGCAAGATCACTGAAATCAGGGTGCCGCGTTTTCCGGAACTGCTCAGAGAATTCACGGGACTTCCGCAGGGCAAGCACAGTCTGCAGCGGTCCCGCAGGACTTTGTTTACTATTGCAAAAGCGGAAAGGTCGAAAATCGGAATTTCTCCAGGATTTTCACTCCCGAGTGCTTGAAAATAGGAACTTCCGCAGGACTTTTTACAAAGCGCTGCGGAACTTTCGGAAAAAACCCGCGGTTCCGCAGAATTGTGAATGTCAGTAATTCCGCAGAGTTTTGAATATGTTGTCATCGTATGATGTTGCCTCGCCAACAACTAGAGTGCATGATCGAACATGTCAGCCATAGTGCAGAGGATAGTATGAGATTGGTGCCATAGTAATGCGCGTTTTTCTAGCCGTCGTTTAAGTACGTTTTTCCTATCACACTTTTTTTTGAAAAAAAAAACTTATCAGAAAGCTCTTTTCATGCTCTATCTAATGTTGTTGAAGCGAGCTTTTAGCCTCATTCGTTACGAATTCATAGAGGTTCACATAACGCAATCGAACCCAGAATTTCGTTGCATTTACTTTTCTGGCCAGGATTCAAGCGCGATGAAAGGCATTCTTCTGAAAATTCACCTACTACATATATTGAATGTCTACATTAAGTAAATTTTACTATTGTCCTAGAAATCACATAGATTGAGATATCGGCGCCTTAACTTGGGCAGTCGTTTTAATCATTTTGTGCCCTGTGAATATCTTTTGGAGAAGGCAATCGCCAAAACTTTGCTCATTCCTGTAAACGTAAAAGTGGACCTCCTGTTTACAGTTTTTGCGAAAACGTTTGGCTGTTTACTATGCAGAAAATCATAAAAACTACATATTTTGGGCATCGAGGCCTACGAAATAATGTTGGAAAAGCGGGTAATTTTAGATTTTAATTTTTCCTTTTCGCAAATCTTCTTTGTTTGAGACCTTCGATTTTTTCTACTTAACTTACGGCTACAAGGTAGGCCGCTTATCATTTATTCTACAAATTTTGAAGGAAGTTATGATCAATTTGAAATGAAGTTTCAAAAAAACTTTTCTGCTTGTTAATCCATATTTTTCTGTCTATTTGTGATGTGAGTATAGATGGATGTGCGCTGTATTGCGGAAGGTTTGCTACCTCTGATAGTCTTTATCGCATTGAAGAATGTAATTTCTAGGAAATTATAGCACGTTAAAATAAGAACACGCAAAACGCGCATTATTTTTGCATCAACTTAACAGCTGAGCCTCGCTGCCAATAGAGTAAGGTTGCTGAGTAGAAAAAAACCAAGTACAGGGAAAGGGTAGAATGGGCCTGATTCACACAATTTTGACGCCAGCGCAATTCGATTCATGAAATTCGCAACTTCCATTGCAATGACGCAGTCTGATGACCTTTGACAATGTACTTATATCTAGATTACATTCCCTTCTATTTCCGGGAATTTTCTTGTGATTTCACCATTTGATAAGCGAAACATTGAGAAGAGCTCGATAAACTTATGACACAGAAATAAAGAGGCATGAATCACGCAGCAATCTTCTCAAAAGTGCTGGAAACATCCATTAACATCAGAATCATTGACCCAGCATTTCAGATTACATGACGTTGCAATTTCTTGTAATTCAACTCTTATTTTTCTTCAAATTCTCATGCTTTTATTCGACAGCGGACTTGTTTGAGATCTATGAAAGTGAGGGTGTATCGATCTGTTATAAGGGCAAAGTTAGTACGAATTCTGACTAACGCACGATATGTTTACTGTTCGTAACCCCCCAAAAAAGGGTTAGGCTATCATTTTGAGCAAACTATCGGTCTATGGCTTTTTAAAGAGCGTTGGCAGTGTAAGCCATCATATTCTCGGAATTTTTGAAGCGTGTCTCACAATTTTTTCATTCTCATGATTCATGGCGTATAGACTACATTTGCGCAATACACTTGAAAGGTAGCTTTAGTCATCGCTTTTGACTCAAATCTCACAAAGACCATCGTCATTATAATAAAGTCCTAATTACAGATTTTGTGCGTGTGTAGCGATATTGTTGAATGAGAAAAGACCAACAAATTTTGGCTACAAATTTCCCATTGCTGTTCAAAATTCGCCTGTCCCTTCTCACAACATTTTACGTAGACTTTGTATTTTAAGCACCAAAAATAAATCAGATATCTATAGAATTTTCACCTGCGCAAAAGAAGTTCTAAACTATTTAAGCTGGAATCTTCTATGACACCAAGGCAACAGAAATTGGCAGAAAAGCGCAAATGTCTTCTTTTTCGATTTTCTGCTAAATATCCAAGCAAGTGATCGAAACATCCGCAAAACGTTTGGAAAAGTTGCCCCGCGTCACCTGCGAAAGTTCCGTAAACGTGCTGCGGAAGTTTCGAAGATTGCGAACCACAACAGCAAAAGAGAACACCTAGGCAAAATTACCTTACTTTATTGACTGTAAGACTCACCTACTACCCTTTCTACTACGGCTGACATGTTCGATGATGCACTTTAGTTGTTTAAACATCATACTAGACAGCACATTCAAAACCCTGCGAAAGTACTGACATGTTAAAGTGCTGTGGAACCCCTGGTATTTTTCGGAATTTTCGCAGCTTTTTTAACGAATCCTGCGGAAGTCCCCGTTTTTAACCTGTCTGACGTGAAAATGCGGAAGTTCCCACTTTCAACGTTTTCACATTTGCAGTAGCAACCAAAATCCTGCGAAACCGCTGCAAATTTTGCTTGTCCTGCGAAAGTTCCGGTGAACTGTCTGAGTATAATACTCTTTGTCGGCTACTCACGTGCAGAAATGAGATTTTCGATATCTGCTTTCAAGGGTTAGTAGAATATAACAGTGTAGATAAGTAGTAAGTAGCGCGCGTTTGTGTTTGCCGATTTTTGGCCATTAATTTTTCCCTCAAATCAAAGCGGTGCATATAAAGAATGTTGTGAATTTTTTTGGGTTGAAATTTAATTTGCAACAATTGAAAACTTTTGGCTTCAAACATTAAGCGAATTAGATGTGCGCACTCTGTGGACAAATTTTACTTTTTGTGAGGCTAACAAAATGTCTTGATCTCGTAATCTCAGGAATGCCGGAATCAAGCGACATGGACAAGCTTATTGAAATTCTTCTCATTTTATTCTTGCCGGTAAGCTTTCAAGATGCTTCTGCTCAATAAAACATTGCTGTAAAACTCAGCTATTTCAGCCGTTGGCGGTTTGGTATCACGACCGAGCGTGCTCCTGCCAAGTTTGTCTCAACATCATTCTGCTATTCTTCTTTGTAATACCTGCTGTGATCCATGCTATGTGGTACTGCTACATGAGAAAGTAACAATTGTCGATATTACCGTTTTTGGATGCTAAAAAATTTCTCCATCAGCAAATTTTTATTGACATTCGATAGAAGTGCGTTTATAATTTGCCATTGTTTCACGAAAGAGTATAAACTGCCATGAGAAAGATTAATAAAAATTCGTCTTTTCAAGATTCTACTTTCCGGTAAACTGATATAGGACCCGATAAGTGACCGCCGGCCATCCTGTAAGTGGCCAGCAAGCGCCCATAGTTGACAATCTGCATGCTTGTAAGGCTTACATTGAGTTGATAAACCTTTTAGCCTGTCTTTCACAACGACAACTTGAGTGCAAGTTGAGCAGTTTGTTTGCTCATCTGTTCGACAAATATCCTCTGATGTCTTCACTTCCTAAGCATAGAAACTTAATGTCGGATAGGATCAAATTTAAGAACGATGCCCAGCCGTGCGCTTGGGGGTAGGCCCACCGTTGCGGCATACCTTATGCGAGTTGCGCCTCAACCTAAGCAAGTGCGACCTTTGATAAGGCTCGCTGCCCGCCAAGTGATATGATTGGGCCAAGACTCCCCGAAAGTTTTTTCCCAAGTTCAACTTCGGCCGCGGCGTTCCCTGCAAACATACTACATGGGCCGCGTCGTGCGAGGACCTGAAATTTCAAGGGCTGCGGCGCGCCATATAACACTCTTTGAGGCCGCAAACTTCCCGATGCAATAGAGTAGGTCCCATATTTAAGCGATTTCAGTTCAAAAGGATAACAGGGTTTAGAAAGCTTAAATAGCCTCAAATGCGGCCAGGAGCCGAGCTTCAGCTTGAAATACTCCCGTCAAAACATTTCACATTGCATGATAGAATTCGTTCACCGCACATAGTTATGACTTGAGGCACTGTCCACCTAGATTTCCTACCATTGCCTGAGTCTGTTTTGGTCATTCCAGGGCCTTCTCATGTCCTTGATTCCGAATCTGAAGTCGTGAATCCGCTAAGACTCAGACAAGCGCCGTTTCGGGAACCCCGGGACGGATTTACCAAAGCGAGGAATGGTGGGGCGAGTACGGATGGGAGGGCATTCCTGGAGGGGACGTTTCGTCGAGTTCTCTGCCCTCTTCGTTATTTCAAAGCGATTTTATTGCTTTCAAAGCGATATCTTGTAGCGAAGGGGGGGGGGGAGGCCCTGCTGTCGTATGCTGTCAAAATCTTAAAACTTCCTACTTAGGTAGAGAAGCCTTTGAGCCTGCCTACTTTACGCAATGCGGTTAAGTACCCCTGTCACGGCAGTTGGCTGCCAGACGTCCATAAGCTTGACTTTTGTAATTTGTTGAGAGCGGATCAAGTCCTGTTCATACAGGCATATTTATGTGCGCTTGAATACATTTTTGGAACGAGCGGGACGGATAAACTCGTATAAGCGCTGAACAGTCAAGTCGGGAATTTGGCGAAATGCTTTTAGAGGTTTCCAAAGCAGATGGCTACTTCAATTTGTACTCGACAGAACTGATTCACACAAATAATGATTATTCCACAATCATACAATCATCGTTCAAACTTTGATAAAATGAGGTTCAAACGCTTTTCTCAAACGCTTGTGTTCGCAACACTTTATCAATCATTTCTAAATTATTTATGATACCCAACATATTACTCATATCTTGGGAAACACCAAGCTCCAAAGCTCATAAAATAGATATCACACCTACAGCTCATAAAATGGATATCACACCTACAAAGTTGTCAAAAATCTATGATGCAAAGTCGAAAAAAAGTTTTAGACTTGTACGGTTCGGAAGTGTAAATGCTGTTTCATTTGTGTTTTACCGAAAATCACCTCAATCGAACTGCCTCCATTCTCGTACACAGCCCCAAACCTGGAGTTTTTCAACCACAAGCGGAACACCAATCAAGAACGGTCGAGCAAGAAGTATGATTGGTGAGAAGGAATTGCTGTAAAGTGAATTTTTAATAAACCCGTTATAAAATACAGGAGTAAATTCGTGACATCCGGTATATTAATGGTAGTATCAGTCCTATTTGAAGGCTGCGGTATCGTGGCGACTTTCTGAAATGCAGAAAGGGTTCTTGCCAAAGAAACAACAAAAGAGACGCGCAAAGGACAACACAGCTTCTATAGCCCGTCGCGCTGTGCTCGGAGAGCCAACGCTGTTGCGTCTATCGAATATAGTGAATAACTGGAAGAGGCGCAGAGAAAAAAGTGGCGAGAGTACGCGACGAACGTCCACCGCAGGACGCGCAGCACACAGCTCCTCGCACTGCGGTGGACGGCCTATACACGCACACAACACGAAAAAGCGTTCGTGCCGCTACAAGCCAATAGCCAAGCATCCAATAAGGAAGCAGAGTCCTTTTTAGGCTGCGACTATTTCCAACCTAGAAAAGTGAAGGGGATAACCGAGGCTTGAAGTGAGTGCTGACGTAAGTTTACATGGTCAGACTGGGTTGTGAGGAATAAAGAGGGAAGAATAAGTGATACTGAATAATATGGTAATTTTTTCGATGCTTTAGCTTCTAAACTTCATCGAACTGAGACCTTCTCGATTTAGGAAAGCTTTATGTCTCGTCAATCGACATACCAGTCGAAAGCTTGGAATATGTAGAAACGACGTATGCCTCTTCTTTTTTCTCCAGCTTTTTTGTGAATTCACATATGAAATTTTTTATCTAGCTGCAGAATCAGCTGATTTTATGCGGTCAATTTGCGCTCCATTTCTGAAAGGAAGAGGAAAACTAGAAAAAAGGGACGGTCTGTGTTTATACTGGTAAAGTCTTGCTCCGTAACGCAATTAGACGAGTAGACGTCTTCAATCATTCTTTGAAATTCCCTCACAAAACAAAACTGTTTTGTGAAACTAAAACTGTTTATAACATTTCCTCACAACTTGAATGCCGTGTATCTCCGAGTAGAGGGGCGCTAGGATAAAGGGAACGGTCTATATCGATCCCCGTTTTGTGAGCTTTCTAATGGAATGTAGATTGCTAGATAATGACTTGTGGCTTTTCAAGAATGGGGTAGAGGCGTTTACTATTAGCCTGCTAACTCCGCTCCGTCCACAGTCCCCTCAATGGCTTGGCTTTCATGGGTCGCCGGAGTAAATCTTTTTAAGCGGGAAAGCTTTATGCACCAACATTTTATATACCATATTATAGCCAAGAGCACGAGAAATCGACTTAAACCGTTTTTTTAACTGTTCTGCGAAGCGAGATGTGAAGACTTTTATTTGGTTGCAATATTATTAATTTTTAAGAATTCGTGTCTTGATTTTGAAGGTCTTGTTCGAGACTTTGCATGTAAATGGAAAGCTCAAAATTCAAAATTCTGACTGCTTCCTTACATGTGCTTTCTATGAAAGAAGATATAATTCAATTTTTTTCAGCGAACATGCACCTATCATGGGCGAACCGGACTTCCTACTCTTGTATAATTCTTTTCTGCGACAAAAATGTATATATTCATCAAACAATGTTGCTTATTTGAAGAATCAGACATCTTTTAAATTTTTGGATTTATTTCGCTAAACTCTAAACCATTTTGAAAGAGACAGAAAGTATCAAGCTTGCGTTTTCCTTAGCAAGCGGGTTAAAACTGCAGTCATGTTATGGACTGACAAGGGAGGTCACGAAGTCGAAGTGGTCGATCATCACAAATTGCATACATCTAGTGAGAGCTTGAAGCGCTGGTTCCAATTCTGCTTTTCAAATTTGCAAAGCGCTTCCGAGAAAGAAGTTATGATCATTTTTTAAGACGAAATGACGAACCAATTGCCTGAATAAAATCATTCGTTACGTCCTTTATAGAGGTCACCTGAAGCAGTAGAAAGTACGGATGTATTAGGCAGTATGAGTTCATTGCATGAAGTATCCTGACACTTGCCGCTGCTTTTATTGAGTTCTAGGGGAGTGTAGCGATTAATTTTGTCTCAAAAATCTTTTCATTCTTCGCCTTAATAAATGCTCATAACTCCTCTCTTAAAAACTTTTTGCAAATACAAAAGGCATAATTGAAATCAGCTCTTTGATTTCATTAATGGTACGATTTGCGGTGATCGGACCTTTGTGACCATCTTTTGTGAGAAGAAGCAGCAGCTGGCGGTTCAAACAAATTGTGCACCATTTATCATAGGTGTTTTATTCTGCCATTATGCCTTGACCGTAGTCTCACCCTTCAGGCGATGGGAACATCCAGATGCCAGCCCAAAACTGAAGTAAGAGGAGTGGAGAGAAATTGCTTCACCTATCGCACCCATAGCTGCAAGTCTGGAGTTCTTTTTATTACAAGAGTAGCAAGGTACAAAGATGGAGAGAAAACGAACAAACTCTTCTGAAAACTGTAAAAAACTCCAAAAATAGCTATTTCTTGCTGCCCAAAACTGCATGCGAGATCCCTGAAAGAATGACCCTTGCGATTGTTGTACTAGTTCACCTCGCAATTATGTAGAAAACTGGGACCAACGATGACAAAAGGCGTTAAGCATGCTTGCGACTGCTTGTGAAAAAATCATCATGAAATCACCTACAATCAATGAAGCACCTAACAATAAGATCAACAAAACCACAGTATAAGTATATTGATTGGCCACGTTTGTTTGATCGATACGAATCTATAGTGATGTCTACCAAAGATTTTGTTTGGTTATGTATGATGTATTTGCAAGTACCTATTCAAATTCGTTGCCCATGCTCATTTGAATTACCCTAGACACATTCAAAATCTTTCGGATCAGAAGGAGCGCCTATTTTTTCTTTGATCCACTATCTGACATTATGTACAGAAAAGTATGCCAAGATGTTGACTTTCATTTGAAAAAATTTCTGGCTAACTATGAGCAAAGATTAGCTGCTAGAGCCTCATCGAAATTCTTTTTTTAATAAGTTGACGGAAAACTCAAATCAAATCGAAATTTGCCATACTTGATTGATTAATCAGGCCAAGTTTTTATCGCAGATGGTGAGAAATTGAATGCTCTAGCCAGCCATTCCAGTAGCTGTTCACTTTCGCAGAATTATTTATGAGCAAATTTCTACGTCCACTCCTCCTCCTCGCCGCAGTTGTCTAGCAAATGTGTGCTTCAACTCACTGATATCTATAAGATATTGATCCGATTAAGGCCATCAATCAGTGAAACATATG